AACACTCACAAAGGAGAAAATGTCTTTTTATGGCAAAGCAGTTCAGTTTAATGGTTGTGAGGTTTCATGCTGTCATGTCATTGGAAATGATGTCAACTTTCCCTTGGTTGAAGAGGATCAGGTTAGAGATCATTTAGTCAAACCTGACGTCCACAAGTTTATCCTAATGGAATGAACCTGCAAGTGCTGAGGGAACTAAAGGACATGGTATCTTGGCCTCTCTCATTCCTTGGAATGCTCATGGCAGTCAGGAGACGTGTGTGAGGACTGGAAGAAAGCAAATGTCACACATCTTCAGAAAGGGCAAAAAGGAAAATCCAAGGAACTACAGAACTGTCACCTGAGCATTCACCTGAGTGCTGGAATGGCTAATCCTGGAGGCTATCTCTAAGAATGCAGAGTACAAGAAATTGATCAGGAGTAGTCAGCATGGATTCACCAAAGGGAAATTATGCTTAACCAACCTGATTTCTTTCTACAATGGGACAACTGCATGGAGACATGAAGGGAGAGCACTGGATATTGTCTACCTGGATTTCAGCACGGGTTTTGATGGTGCTTTTCATGATATCCTCATAGGCAAACTCAGAAAGTGAGGGCTAGGCAAGTGGATGGTGAGCTGGACGGAACACTGTGCAAATGGCATATCTCAAAGGGTTTTAAAAAGGCTTGTTCTGGGCCTTCAACTGTTCAACATTTAAAAAAATAATCTGGAAGTGATGGAAATATTTCTGATTTGGCTAAATTCTTAAGGTCAGCATAAATTAACTTTAACAAAGAAGAATTTCAGGGGGAATTTATTACATTAAGTTCTTATCCAGTGAAGTTGAAAGGAGTTTTTGTGAACAAGAGTGTAAAAAAAATGCCATGGGGGAAAAAAGTGTCATTGCCAGGAACTCTTATAAGTATCTTCTAATACTGTTTCAAAATTTTGTCTCAAAGATCATAAATCTAAAAAATAAAAAGCTGAAACCTGGAGATCACTGAGCAAGAAATAGAAACCAAAACAGAAAGCATGCAACGCAAAGGGTATCTGCACCCGGTGTGCCATATGCATTTTCAAGCTTCCTTCTTCAGAAAAGAATGTAGTAAAATGGAACAAGTCGAGAGGAAGATGAAAAGGTTTCCAAAATGTAGGACAGGCTGTGCTGGTAACTCTAGAAAGAAGAAAATTGTTACTTTATAAAATTATGCATGGCAAGGAGAAGATGAATAGACAACACAGAGTACATGATGAAACAAGCTCAACACCAGGAACATATCTTTGCCGTCATCATTAAGTGGTTCATAAATGGAGCATAACAATGGAACAGAAAAAGAAGTGAGCATGGATTAAGACCACAAACAGATGAAATTGTGGGAAACAAACTCAGCTCAAGTTACCAAAGAGAGGAGAATTAATTCTAGTTCTGGAAGTACCAAAACTTTAATATTATAGAGTAGAATATGCTGATAAAGGATACTTCATCTTTATGATGTTTCCGTGATTTTATTTTAGCAACAATCAATCAGGAACCAACATAAAAACCATTTATAGGGTCTTGTGGACTGATTAGGAGTGGTTGTTCCTATGTAATAAAGTTTATGAGAAGCACATGTTCCAGGTCAGTTCAGCTTGCTGATAGACCACTTAATCACTAACTCTGCAAAACTGATCCATAGTTGGAATAATATTCATAAACAAAATGAAGTGTCACATTAAGGGAATATCCAGAAAAAGAAATTCATGTGTACTACACCTGACACCATTGGGTTGAGATATCAGCTTTCCACCTGCAGCTGGGAAGATTAAGATATTCAAAATGAGTGAAGGCATACAGGTTTATGAAAGAAATTAGCTGCCTATTGCCACTGTATTAATAATAATCACTTCTCTTCTGCCTTGTTCACAGACCGGGAGAACCAGTCCATCCTGATCACGTACGTACACCCCCTGTG